ACTGATAAGGGCTGAAAGATTGTGAGATGTAAGTTAAAATTTCCTTAAATGCCTGAATCTTAAACTCAGCACACGGGAAGGACGACATAACAAAGGTGATTGCATAGTGTGTTATGGTCCATTAAGGGGTTTTGAAACAAGCTGCAGGGCTCCCAGGTTTGTTAGATTCACTCTCGGACACATGGTGCCCACACTTATTTCGCCTGGAGCCTTGCACGTTTCTGCATAGCTGAGGCTAGTGATCAAGAGCTCTTCCCTGACTAAAGACAGCCTGAGAAATATTAGATCAATGTGGGACCATGTTGATAAGCCGCTAGAGGTAGAAAAGGGCAGCCCAAACCGAATTTAATGCTCTTCTACCCGGATCTAAGCTTTATGTCTTACGCCAGAGAATTTTGTGGAAGAGAGTCTTTAGGCTTCATTCTAAATCTTGTAGGTGCCTAATTAATGTTTATTGCTCACTTTTATTTTCTGAGAAGAGTTTTCTGCAATCAAAGGGCAGATCTTTTGAAAATGCTAACTTTTTTTTTAAAGATTTTTTATTTATTTATTTTTTTCCCCCCAAAGCCCCAGTAGATAGTTGTATGTCACAGCTGCACATCCTTCTAGTTGCTGTATGTGGGACGCGGCCTCAGCATAGCCGGAGAAGTGGTGTGTCGGTGCGCGCCCAGGATCCGAACCCGGGCCGCTAGCAGCGGAGCGCGAGCACTTAACCGCTAAGCCACGGGGCCGGCCCTGAAAATGCTAACTTTTAAGTTTAGACTTTTATCTTTGGGGAATGGATGTGAAAATGCACTCTGGAAAATCAAAGATTCATATGGTTTTAATATTAGTTCAGTAACTTAAATGGTAGACAACATTTAAAGGTGTGGGTTATCTCTTTTATGCCATACTGTGCAGTCTGTCTTGCTTTTCTCTTTGTTTCCAGGCGCAACTACAAATTGAGTACCTGGAACAATGCCTGGCATAAATTAGATGCTCAATAAGAGCTTGTTGAATGACTGACTAAATGCTACTTTCTCCTCCCTAGCAGCTGGCCAACCCAGTAACATTTGAAAGACAGCTGGATAATTCTGGGCCAAGTAGGAGTTTAGATTCATATTAAAAGAGATTGAGGAGTGGGCAGAGTGCAGACAGATCATTTCTCTAGAGAGCTCTTTTCTTCAACTGATTCCTGAAAGTTACACTGTGTTGGCTTTTATGTTATGGCATGAAATCTACTTATCTAATCAGATGTTAGAAAAAGGTAGGAAAGATATTTACATAGAGAGAATTGAGGAGCGCTCTTAACCAAATACTTTTTGACCAAAAACTAAGCACTTAATATAACAAATTATATGTAATACAAAAAATATAAAATTAATCCCTTAATTTCTGCAATTATGCAGAAATGGAGCATTTTAATCCCTAAGTGACACTGGGTAGTTTATTTAATCTGTAAAATTGAAAAGTAATTTAATCTAAAATTTTTAAACTTTGTCTCAGTTTCTTCATCTGAGTTTTCTTCATCTGAGTTTTCTGGAAATAATTTATTCAGCGATGGAATCTTGTCATAATGTTTGGTGAAATGATTTTTTGCTTGAAGAGTAAACAGCGAGCAAAGATGCCTGATAACGACCAGAGATAGAAATCTTTTGAATTAGAGCTTTTAAGTTCTTGACTTAAAACAATTTCTGTGTTATGGTGTGAAATAGACTAGGGGAACTCTCAGTTATCCATACGTATTTCTCAAGACTTAAGTGCTGACCAGTGGATATCTTACAGTGCTTTACACTGTAAAATTAATCACAATTTATGGAATAAGTCCCAAAATGCAGATGTTTGTTTTTTCTCTTTTATTTTTAATATCATTTAACAAAGATGTTTGTGTCCAATTCTTTTGATTCCTTTTACACAGAATTCTTCTTGCTTCAATGCAAATTCTACCAAAGCCTGTTTAAGTTCGTCCTTCTCATGTTACAAATACTAATAGAGAGGGACAGTAACCCCAAGTCAGCACACAATAGCCCAAAGAATGAAGGGAAAGGTCTGAAATGAGACCCTGTAAGACACAGCTGTTGCCAAAGAATCTGTCATTCCAGCCAAACAACCTGGAGCAATTTAGTCCTGAACTTCCAGTGCTGTTGCCATGGTTTCTAGACAAAGACGACAGGGCTGCATTCCAATTATATCCTTCAGAGTGACAGATAACTAGGAAATGGGTTAATAAAGTCTCAGGTCACCCAGAAGAGATATGGTAGATACAAGTGACAGATAAGTGAGAGATTCGAGTTTATGTTTGTCTCAAAAATACCTCTGTGATTCAGAATGCAAATATATATCTTGCCAACTCTCCAGACTTGAATAGCAATTTTATCCATCATCCAGTTCATTATTCAAAGCCAGATATCTCCTGCTTAATAGATATTTTTTTAATAACATTTTAAACTGGAAGAATTCATGAATTAAGAGAAATTAAGGGGGTCCGGCCCCATGGCTTAGTGGTTGAGTGTGCTTGCTCTGCTACTGGCGGCCTGGGTTCGGATCCTGGTGTGCACCAATGCACCACTTGTCCGGCCATGCTGAGGTGGCATCCCATATAGAGCAACTAGAAGGATGTGCAACTATGACATACAACTATCTACTGGGGCTTTGGAGAGAAAAAGGGAAAAAAGGAGGAGGATTGGCAATAGATGTTAGCTCAGGGCTGGTCTTCCTCAGCAAAAAGAAGAGGATTGGCATGGATGTTAGCTCAGGGCTGATCTTCCTCACAAAAAAAAAAAAAAAAGAAATTAAGGAAAAAATCTCTTAAACTGTGTAAAGTAAAAAGTATCCCTTGAATTCTGATGATATTGCAAATATAGCAATCCCATTTTATTCTTTAATGCTGGGGTCAAATGTAATATTCTCTTTTTCCAGTTGAAGGTATTATTGTAAACTTTGCACCCTGCTTTGGGCAATATCTGATAATCAATAGTATTTTGCCAGGCCAGGGTCAGCAGAGAGTTTGCTGCTATGTTATTAGATGAAAATGAAGATACTCGCCTCTGTTCAATGAGAGGAACCGTTACGTAGAGATCAAACGGTTGACAATGAATTCTAGAATGTTGATAGATATGACTTGGGTGAATAGATAACTTTATGTTTCTGCATTCTCTGTAGTTAAGCATAAATGGAGCATTTTAATCCCTAGTGACACTGGGTAATTTATTTATTTATTTTTAAAAATGCTTTTGTCTTTTTGTATTTTTAAATTTTATTTATTTATTTTTTTCCCCCAAAGCCCCAGCAGACAGCCGTATGTCATAGCTGCACATCCTTCCAGTCGCTGCACGTGGGACGCGGCCTCAACATGGCCGGAGAGGCGGTGCGTCGGTGCGCGCCTGGGATCCGAACCCGGGCCGCCAGCAGTAGAGAGCACGCACTTAAGCGCTAAGCCACGGGGCCGGCCCTGGGTAATTTATTTAATCTGTAAAACTTAAATTTAATCTAAAATCTTTAAAACTTTATCTCAATTTCTTCATTTGTAAAATGGAATAATACCCACTTCTTAGAGTTGTGATGTTATATTAGATAATGCATATAAAGCATTTAGATCAGCAGCTGGCACATATAGTTACTAAGTGAATGTAGTAAATTCTATTTCTGTCATTATTACTACTCTTATTATTACCCTCTACATACACACTGTGACAAGTGAACAGCTATTACTATAACAGAGGAACTCAAAAGACATTGGTAAATTCAAGGTTTAAAACAAGGTATCTATTAAAACGTTAAGAAAAAAAGTACCTTAGATGTGAAATTAGATGTGTTTGAATGATGGTGAAAAAAAGCTCTAAATTAATAAATAGTATTTCAAGGTTTATGTCAGCATAGTGAGATGAAAAGTTCTAAATGTCCTGAAGCCTACAATCATGTTTCCTGAATTTTTCTTTGGGGATATTTATTTTATGACACTTTGAGGACAGTATAACATTTCTGTTAACACATTGAATATAGCTGTCACAGTTTTATAAAAATCAGTTTTATGATTTTTTTATGCATAAATTCAAAATGTTTAGCTGGATTCTAAGTTTGACTTTTATTATATTCAGGATACTTTTTTTTTCTTTAGCAAGAATTGGTTTGATTTTATAATGGAAGTAGTTAGGAAAAGCAGATTTATTTAATAAGACTTTCCTGTATGATAAATCTTATAAGAATAGATCTATCTTCTTTATAAATAATAACAACAATAAAAAAAGAAAAAATGAATTTTTTTCTTTATAATTCTACTTTTTCAAGAAAACATCTTAGGGGTTCAAAGTACAACATTTGCACAGTTTACTTTGCTTTGTTTGTCTGGTCTTCACGTGTTGTGGTAAATTTTTTAAATTTATAAACCCCGAGATTTGATATTCTATCATATATGTGTGTATATCATATGTGAGTATTTATATATACATATATATGTAATAAAGTATATAATTTTAGTGAGTACTTATGGTCAAAGCAAGTAGAGACTTGGACAATTGCAGATTTAAAAACTTGCCTCTTTTGTAATTATATGAAAAATGGCTTTAATTTCTCATTAATATTTTTAAATTACTCTTTTGCTATTGAAATTATGGAATAACTGGTTATAACCAAAATGTGAACTACTACTTCTAGAACACATACAAAGGGCAAAAGCTCCAATAACTCAATTTATTTCCCTGTAATTCTTCTATCTATGTGTTCTAAGTGCTTTAGAAGGAATGCACTGGTCAGTGGAGCAGTACATCTGCTGGCACACCAAGTTGCCTGCCTGCAGATGGGATTTTGAATTATTTCTTTTATGCATTTCTTTGATGGCATGGCCATATCTCACTGAAGCATCAGAAAGAAGTAGCTTCTCTCATCTAAAAGCTGACTTGGGAAGGTGACATGTCTATTTTTGTTGTCATCTCACAACATAGGTCACAAAACAAAATGATGATATTCTATCAGAATTGTCAAAATTATGTAGTCATAGTGTGAAGAGGGTCTTGGAGACTTACCTTAAAAGAGATTTCATACTGTTCTCCTCCCCAGATTTCTAAACCTGGATCATAGCCACCCAACTCCCAAAACCATTTTCGATCCACAGCAAAGAGACCTCCAGCCATAACAGGAGACCTGTGAAATAGATAAAATAATCTTTAAAGGACTGTGAACATTAGGGACAATGACATTTTGCTTGGGGAAAAAAATGCAAATTTTAAGACATGTTTCAGTGGTCAACTGTTGGGAGATTTTCAGCACTGGTTTTCTGTAAGTGGATATAGAGTTCTCATTGGGTCTCTAATTGCTCCTGGAATCCTCAGGAGCTTTCAACTTTGCTTTCAAGTTCAGGTTCTAATGCAACAAATGCCCTGTAGAGCCACATTTGCTCCATATGTTTATCATTAGAGAGAAATATGCGACTATTAGTGACTGCTACATTGAGAAATATCACTCAATTTTATAGCTCTCCCTCAAAGTCAAAGGGATCTTGATTAGTATCAGAGAGATAAAAATATAGAAAATTTTGTTACAGAAAATATCTTTGATTTAATCTCTCAGTACGTATTCACCAAGCATCTATGTTTACAAGTCATGTCCATTTTACAGACTATCAGATGGTCAGTTAGAATAAAATACATAAACCTGAATTTGTTTAAGTGTATTATGTATTTCAGAGACTTTGCATGTTAAGATGGTACTTGGCCTAATTACTTCAGTTTAAGAATTTTTTTAACGTGTAGACTCTATGTAAATGGAAAGATTACAACATAGGAAGAGGGATTTACTTGTCCCCCTAGGAAAGTAAGCAGGATTCAAAAAATAACATAAAGAATCTCATGCAATTTTTTATTTTGTTTGAAATAAAAATCCTAGAACCAGATGTACCTTACTTTATCCTTCTCTCTAGCAGCCTAATATTTTTCCATTTTCCACACACTGAATTTCAGAGTGGAATTACAACTGTAGCTGGAACAAATTAGAACTGTAACATCTATTGAGTGAAGTTCACCAATGAACACATTACTGCAGTGTAACCTTTGCTTCTGCAGGGCTTGGGCATAAGTGATCAGAAATTCTCAATCCTATTCAATCTGAACCACAAATAGAAAGATTTTAAGTCATACAGATATATTCTCATTTGATTCTGTAAAACATGAGACCAAAGCATCAAAATTTATACTGTGCAGAATGAACCTCAAAACTAGATTATCATAGACAGAGAATTATTATAGATATTGAGCAAGAGAAGGTCCTATATTGATTTTTTATTGTAAATAATTTGTTGGAAACACAATATTTTGTTTTCTTAATGAATTTATTAAAAAAAAAACCATGTAGTGTATTTCAGGTTAATTTTAGACACAATAAAATAAATTCAAATGGATCCTCTTTACCTCCATGGATGTTTTTACCAAGCCTCAAATAAATTAGTGTCTCCTATCTTGATTAGTGTGAATGACTAGTAAGAAACAAACCTTTTATTTATTCATTTACTCATATTTGTCCATGAATATTTTAAACAGCTTAATTGAAGTATAGTTGATACAATGAATTGCACATATTTTAAGTGTACAATTTAGTAAGTTTTGACTTATGTGTACCATTATGCAGTGATCACCACATTCAAGAAAATGAACATATCTATCATCCCCAAGTTTCCTCATTGTAATTCCTCCCTCCTGACCCTCTCTTCGTACACTTTCTCCGGGCAACCACAGATGTGCTTTGTGTCACTATAGATTAATTTGCATTTTTCTAGAATTTTATGTAAATAGAATCATACAGTATATACTCTTTTTTGGGGAGTCTGGCTTCTTTCATTCAGTATAATTTTTTTTAAGATTCATCTATGTCATAGTATGTATTAAAAGTTCATTCTTTTTTTATTGCTGAGTAGTATTACATTTGCATGTATACACCACAGTTTGATTATCAGTTCACCTATTGATGAACATTTAGGTTGATTCCAGTTTTGGGCTATTACAAATAAAGCTGCTTTGGATTTTGTTTACTAATCTTTGTACGGACATATGCTTTCATTTCTCTCCAGAAAATGCCTATGAGTGAAATGACTAGATCACATGGTAGGTATATGTTTACCTTTTAAGAAACTACCAAACTGTTTTCCAAGTGGCTGTACCATTTTATATTCCTGCCAGCAGTAAGTGAGTCTCGGCTGCCCCACATCCTCAATACCTGATAGGAGCAGTCTTGTGAAGCTTAGTATTAAAATAGGAGTATAGTGGTGTATTATTATGGTTTTATTTTGCATTTCCATAGTGATTAATGAATCTGAGCATATTTGCGTTGTTTCTCTTTTTTTCCTATTCAGTCTGGCTAGTGGTTTATCAATTTTATTTATATGCTTAAGGAACTAGCTTTTGGTTTCATTGGTTTTCTCTATTGTTTTTCTGTTTTATATTTCATTAATTTCTCTTTGATCTTTGTTATTTTAATTCTTCTACTTACTTTGTATTTAATTTGCTCTTCTTTTTCCAGTTACTTAAGATGGAGGCTGAGACTGCTGATTTGAGACTTTTCTTTTTTTCGGATAATAGATATTTAGTACCATAAATCTCCCCTAAGAACTGCTTTAGCAGAATCCCACAACAATGTGATATGTAGTGTTCTCATTTTCATTATGTTCAAAATACTTCCTAATTTTCCTTTTGTTTTCTTTTTTTGACCTCTGGGTTATATAGAAGTGTGTAATTTAGTTTCCAAATATTTGGGGATTTTTTTGAGATTTTTCTTTCATTGATTTTCATTTAATTCCCTTGTGGTCAGAGAATATACTTTGTATAACTTGAATCCTTTTAAACTTGTTGGAACTTTTTAATGGCACAGAATATGATCTATCTTGGTAAATGTTCCATGTGTATTTGACAAGAATATATATTCTGTTGCTGTTGAGTGGAGTAGCCTGTAAATATTTATTAGGTAAAGTGGGTTGATAGTGTTGTTCAAGTCTTCTATATTCTTATTGATTGTCTGTCTCATTGTTCTATCAGCTATTGAGAGAGGAATATTGAAATCTATGACTATAATTCTGGATTTGTTTATTTCTTCTTACTGTTTTATCAGTGTTTTGTTTCACGTATTTTGTAGCTCTGCTAATAGGTGCATAAATATTTAGGATTTTGATGAATTGGCCTCATTCTCATTATGAAATGACTTTTATCATCCCTGGTAATATTCTCTGCTCTGACATCTATTTTGTCTTGATACTAATATAGCAACTTCAGTTTTCTTTAGATTTGTATGATCTAAACACTAGTATTTATAACTTTTTACTTTTTAAACTATCTGTGTCTTTATATTTAAAGTGGTTTTCTTGTTGGTAGCATATACTTGCATCTTGCTGTTTTACAATCTCTGCCTTTTAACTGAGTTATTTAGATCACTTACTTTTAATATGATTGTTCATGTGGTTAGGCTTAAATCCAGCATATTCTTCTTTGTTTTCTATTTGTCCCATTTATTGTTTCCTTTTCCCCCTTTTCCTGTCTTCTTTTTGATTCATTGAATAGTTTTCATGAACCCATTTAGTATCCTTTTTTGACTTAACATAAATTCCTTGTTTTGTTATTTTAGTGCTTGCTGCTGAGTTTATATCATGCATCTTTATTTTTTTATCACTGCTTACCTTCCAGTGATATTATACCACTACATATGTATTATAAGAACCTTTTATAGTATGTGCTCATTTCTCTTCCTCCAATCTTTGTACTTTGTTGTCATACACTTTACTTTTACATATAAGCCCCACATTATATTATTATTATTTTTGTTTAAGCAGTTATTTTTTTAAAAGATCTGAATCATAAAATTTCATACATGTGAAATTATATTACAAACACCATTTCTGTTTTCTTAATTTTTTGGTGTGATCCAGATTTTCATCCTTCCATCCTTCTGCCTAAGGACTTCCTTTAACATATCTCATAGTGGGGGTGTGCTGGTGATGAAGTCTTTTGTCTTTTGCCTATCTAAAACTATCTTTTTTGTCTACATTTTTTAAAGATACTTTTGTTCGCTATAGAATACCAGCTTAACAGCTTTTTTCTTTCGACTTCGAAAGATGTTGCCTACTCTCTTTTCACTTGTATTGTTTCCCAGGAGAAGTGTGTTGTTATCTTTATCTTTGTTTTCTGTATATAATGAATCTTTTTTTCCTCTGGCTGCTTTTAAGATCCTGTTTATGTCATTGGATTTGAGCTATCTCATTATGACATGACACATAGTGTACAGTTTTCTTGGTACAGTTTCTTGTGTTTGGGATTGCTTGAGTCTCTTGGATCTGTAGGTATAGTTTTCATGAAATCTGCACAATTTTTAAACCATTATTTCTTCCAATATTCTTTCTATTCTTACCTTTATTTCATATTCTCCAGAGACTCCAATTATACACTTTTTCATTTTAAAAAATTCTCTTTTTGTGTTTCATTTTGGATAGTTTCTAGTGCTATATCTTGAAGTTCACTAATCTTTTTTATTTTTTGTAATGTCTAATCTGCTGATAATTCCATCCAAAGCATTTTTTAATCTCACACATTATTTTTTCACCTTTTGGATTTTTATTTTTTTATTTTTATTTTTTGTATCTTACATGTCTCTACTTAACTTTTTGAATGTATAGAATACTGTTATAATTTTAGTCTTAATGTCCTTGAATGTTAATTCTTAGTCAGTTGTTAGTTTCAATTGATTGAATTACCTACTCATTATGGGCCATATATTGCTGCTTCTTTGCATGCCTGGCATTTTTTTCATTGGGTGCTAGAACTTTTACATTTTTGGGTGCTGGATATTTGGTAATCTTTTAAACATTTTTGAGCTTTGTTCTGGGATTCAATTACATTACTTGGAAATAGTTTGACCCTTTTGGGTTTTGCTCTTAAGATTTATTAGGCAGGACTGAAGCAGTGCATAATCTAGGGCAAACTATTCACCACTCTTAAGGCAAGACCCTTCTGTGTGCTCTACTCAATGTCCTCCAAATCATCAGGTTTTTCAGTCTGGCTAGTGAGTACAGACACTAGTTCCAGCCTTGTGTGTGTTCTGTGCGCTGTTACTTCTAATTCTTTTGAGTGGTTGTTTTCCCAGTCTTGGGAAGTTTCTTCATAGACATG